GGGGGGGGGGGGGGGGGGGGGGGGGGGGGGGGGGGGAAGGGTTGGAGAGCTCGTTGATTCCGTACTGTATAGTTCCGTAACAATCTAAAATTTTTGTCAAGTATCTGGATTTAAGACACCGTTCTACTAGGGACCTACATCTGCTGAATCCTCAAAATTCGAAAAATTCTTTAAAAATCCAGTTTGTTCCGATTCTGAAATCTGCAGGCCGGCCCTATTTTATAGAAGACGGGATAAAAATATCCTAAAATATTGACACCCACAGGCTGTCTCTGTTTACAGGCATTTTATTCTTTACAGCCAATTTATTCAGTAGTAAATTTGCTAAAATAAGATTAATATGCAATTATTGAAATTTATGATCACGAAAACGGCATTAGTGATATTGCCATGAAAAAGTGCAGTGTTTGATAGAAAAATAGTGAGAAAGAGGAAAAGGGTGAGAGAGAAGAAGAAATGGTGAATTGGGAGAAAAATGAAAAAGCAGCCGCGATGTTGGGATATGAATTCGTGAAGAATGAGAGTCAAAAAACTTGTAATTTACTTTGTTCCACTTAAACACTGTGAAGTATTCCAACCAGCTACACCGATGTCGTTGGCAAGTTTCCAAGTATATCTTTTCCTTCAGAAAAAAGTGTTGGAAAGTTCATAAAATGGCTCAAACCGTTTAGAAATGGCTTAATCAAATTTATATCAATTAACAAAATTTAAAATAGATAAATCTAGTTTAAAAATAAGAAGTGCCACAAAATCGTTAGGCCTTGTCGAGTTTGATCTTACAAGGCTCCATTAGAGCTCATTACTTCCCAATGGGAGTCGCTTTCCATTGCAGAAGTCTAGAACTTCAGTTAAACGTTACAACAAGAGAACAAGTAGGAACAATTTGACTGCTTGTCAATGGTCGTCAAAATTCAGTAAACATCCGATGCCCACAAACATCCGGAAAAAAACTTATCCCGAAGTTTGTGGTTACTGGATTGTGGCTTTGCACTTACAAAGTTCATAGAACTGCCCAATGTACTATATAAATTGAGAGTTATTAAATATCAATTTGTACTTCTTAAGAATATTTGTTCTGGGGTTGCACTGGAAACAAAAGTACAATCGTAATGTTAGGTATGACGAAAGACCCTAGAAAGAGGACTCCAGATATTAGACCGAGTTAAAAAGTCACTCACATTCCCCCTTCTAATCTACATATCCCTTCAGGGTCAATCATTCGGAGCCAGAGTTGTCTGGGAGGATAATGGAACTGATTCCTACATTGGCTGGCTATCCGCAAGTTATTGTACAGGCCACATATGCATCCAAACACTATTACGATCCTGATCGAAAGTTGGATACACGGCTCAACCCACAGATTTATCAACTTCTAATGATTTTGAGCTCTATTTCCATTACCATGTGCACCCGATATTTTAGGAAGAAAAGAAAATAAAATGGAAGGAATGTTCTCAAAGTTCATGCGCTGCTTTAATGAATTACTTTCATGAATAGAGTCATTGACGATTTTATGTAGTGTTTCCAATAAAACACGAAAGCATACTCTCAGTAAAAGCTTGACGGGAAAAAACCCCCTAGAAACCACATGGAATCTCTCTTCTGGGAGCTTTTGCAAAGGAAATAAATTGTAGCCAGGAAAGAGGTTTGTATTACTCATAAACGTTTTCAAAGAGCAAATACTTTGATATCTCAGCTAAGAGTGCACTTGTAGGCAAGCCTGATTTCGATCTGGTTCTTGCGAACCTCCTCTCTCTTACCCATTACTATGGAGTTCCGAGAATCCCACTAACTAGCATCATTAGTTGGGAATTTTTTTTTTTGCAGAAACGTGTACGGGGTGGGATAGAGAAATTAGTCGATAGTAGAGGGTGCTAAGCAAAGACCTATGGCTTCAGCCATTCTTGTGTCCGATTTTACGATCTTCGGCAATTTTTCAGGGAATTATTTTGGTTCCTCAAGAAAGGACGTGGATGCCTTCTAAGCAATCAACAAATCTTTGAGGGGAACAAATCAACAATCTTTATCTTTGAGGTTTTGGAGGAATATTCCTCATTTCGGGCGCAGAGATTCCTCTCGTTGGGGTTCCAGGAACCCAGAACTCTTTTTTTGTATCAAACTTTTGTTCCCACAGCGACTCTATCCCATACTTGGTTCTCAGGAAAGAACACTGATGCCATCTAAGCGATCAACAAAATCGCTAACATTCGAGTCTTACCCCTATCAGATCGGGCCCGGACATTTTTTTTCTTGGGTTTTCAGGGCTCAAAGCTCTATCAGGCCGAATTCTTGTCTCACAGTAAGTTCCGTACCTGTCTATAGGTATCCTCAATAGTTGGCACATAATTTTCGGAAAATGTTCCTTTGACAAATCGTTGAACGATAGACGATTTACCGACACCTCCTGCACCAAACACCGCAACTCGGTAATCGGACACTGAGGCCGGGTCGCCAAGCCGGCCACCCTGGAACAACTGCATTTGGTCTCAAAGCACTACTCAACAAACCGTAACTTACCGAACCAGAAGGATTTGCTGTGTCCTCAATGCTGAATGTCGTTTATCCTTGAAAATGAGCAAAAATCAGAGGGAAAATGTCAATTGCACCCAAAAAACCGCGAATCAACTGATGCTGATTGGCATTAGCTTTCATGAATGTTAGAAAGGAAGTGAATGGCATTGGTAAAAGACGTAGTTAGGACAACAAAAAGAAAAGAATTCAAGGGAAATGTTCATAAATGAATAGCAGCTGAAAGACAAAAACTGGAACGGCCTTCAACGTCGGCAGCTAATCGAAAGGGCAATAGCATTATGGACAACAAATGAGACATAAGGCGGGCGTCCATTTTGTGCATAAGTTCGTGGAAGCAAATCGCCTCCGTCTGCCGTCCGTCCGTCCACTGGGTGGCAGAGAGAGAGACCGAGCGGAATTGGTATTTCGCTAGATCGATGAGGCGGTGAAGAGTTCGGTGAAAGTGCTGCTGAACATTTTGTGCAGCTCTTAAGGGAAGTGCGAGTGCCATAGACAAATACCGAAGAAGAAGAAGTTTTTGGAGAAGGCGTCCCAGGCCACTTTTCGAAAGCCCTAAGCAATTTCTTGGAATCCGATCGGAAATAGCAATTATTCATTCGGAAACTTGCAACTTGAAAACTATATATGACTTTGAACTAATAGAAAAACTAGCGATGAACCGAGTCAAAGCAAATTCGTCACGCCATTGACGCCTGGTAGCTGGTGCATTATTCAGATATGCTCTCTCCCCCTCTCGACCACGAGAGAAGGCGTCCCACGCGACCGACGACAAGGAGAACTGCCGGCGAGGTGCGAACTGCTGCTGCTGCTGCTGCTCGATGAAGGCGCAGTAGAGAGAAGTGCAAAACAAGGAAGTCATTATGGGAATAAATGTCTAGGCCAGTTCTCTTCCTATGACTACCCACGTACTACGACCAAGCGCTTTCAAACGTACTTTTACTCGGTCATGCGGAAATGCGAGACAAATGTGGGTCTAAGTTCGAAAACCTGAAATTTAACTCATTAAACGCTACTGTTACCAACCAGGAAGCTTTCTAGCACTATCGTAAGTGACACTATTCAAAATGGAAGGAAGGTCTTTTGAAGGTTATAGAGGAATACTTCTGCCTCTGACTTAAGGGACCTGGGAAGAGTGCATCCATATGAGAAACCATACTATTAGAAAACGAAAGAGTTTTCGAATTGCGTAGAAGGAGTAAGTGGAGGAGGGTCGCACTTATTCAAAAGCATTTAGGAAGTTTCAGCTGCTCAGGAACTTCAGAGGCGGGTAAAGTTGTGCAGCGACGGGGCACGACGACGTAATAGCATGTGCAAGTGCCGAATCCAGGGGTCCAACCGTTGAATTAGCCCCCCCCCCCCACCTCGAGCGAATCGATTCAATGCAGGCACAAGCTCCCGCGCGAATAGCATCAGACCCACTTATGACCTAAAGGCGGTGAGACGGCCATAGGCTTTTGGAGCAGTACTCTTACGACAAAAACGGAAAGCTCTATTGCCCTGAGGGCGAGGTTCATATGATAGAGCACTCCCTTACAGATTCGAGCAAGACCTTCCCGAGCTTTCTGGAAAGAAAGGGACAAGCGAAAAGAACAAACCGCTCACGAAACAAAATTTCTGAAAACCTACGGCAAGAGCGCAGCGCCACAAATTAAATTGCATATTCAATAAGACCAAACAGAAATTATCTGCTGTCGGTCATTCCTCATGCGACAAGCTTTACAAACGAGTTACCCGAAATAGATCAGAACTTCTTCCGGGAATCAGCTCAATAATATCATATTTTCTCAGTTGAATAGGCTCCTGTAATCGTATTCGGGTTGCAGGCATTCATTGGCTATTCGCTGCCCTTTCTGAAAGCTCTCGGGCTCGTCATTTTCCGCTTCATTAGCCACCCACACAGCTTTTTTTCCAGGTCCATGTCCTATGGAGAGATGAAGTATTTCTTCTGCGGTGGGCTGTTTTCCATGATGAACGCCATGCCTCTCCCCTCTAATTGACCACATAGCGATTTTCTTCCCTCCCGTAGCTTATTTTCCGTAAACAGTTTTGTGGCTGTGGCTCGAAAGTTAGTTGTCGTGAAGGTGGAATAGGAACAACAATGAGATTGTTGGCTACGGAGAAAGTAGAATCAAGAACGATGTACGAAGGAGAAGCCTCCTGTGGGAAGACTGCAATGGGCAATAACGTCTGCAACGATCTGTACAAATACACTGCTCAAACCATCTGTGATCAAATATCCTCTCATTCCGGCATTTTTTTTGTTCCCGTCGGCTCTTTCACAGCACTCAACCGATTCCATTTTTCATTGCAGATCGAATTTCAATCCGCTATTACTCCCATTACATCTTAGAGGACCTCAAGGAATTGATCAACCCTTTAGAATAGCTCCCATAGGGCTCTCCCACCTTCTCTATTAGGGAATCTATCGTGGTAGGACGAAAGCCCTTTTGAGCCGTGCGTTCCACCTGCACCAAGACCGTACGGGCGTCTCGGTGATTAATTGGTCTTCATGACAAGGTCTAAGGTCTAGTGCAATGTTCACAGAGCCTCAGAAGTATTCCTGAAGATGTAGGACTTGGGCCCTCCCGGGCAGCCTTTCCCACATAGGTGAAGGTGGTTGCCTGAGAAGGTCCTGTCTACGCATACTAGAGCCTTTTAACACCTGTGCACTTAGTTTTTGTCGTCTATTTGCCCTTTCTAAGTAGAGTGAATTGGGTGGCAAAGTGGGAGTGCTCATGTCCGGACATTATCCTTTTTGTTTTGCTGTTCACCTTTCTACACCTTTAGCTACAAAAGGGGCACAGATGAAGGAAGCCGACAACCAAAGAGCTTTATCACCTTTTCTATTGGGAAATCTATTAGGACGCCCTTTTGAGCAGTGCATTCCACCTGCATTCAAGACCGTGCGGGCGTTCCGAGGATTAATCTGTAGGGTTTCAGGGTATGTAACAAATTCTTCATGGATTTTATGTTGTCATTTTAGGTGGCCAGGATTTTGGTGAAGTCGTTGGAACGTGTGGATCTTGATTTTTAGTGTACCCTTTTGCATTTTCTACCAGTTTTTCAACATTGTCTGGGAAGTTTACACGACTCCCAAAGCACTCCAAGTCATCTTCACTGTTTCTGGAATTGTGTGATTTAGTAAGCACTCGAAAAGCCTCATAATGAGGTCACAGTTCGGTTCTAAGAGCACCAAACTACTTAGAACCTCTTAGATGAAAGACTAAAAAAAGTAGTTGTCGTTGATCAATCTTTCCGCCACACATTTAGCCTCCATTCAAAGTCTCTGAAGCATATGATTTACGTATCCAGTGACTCAAAGGTGGCCTGTGAGTAGGAATTCCCCATTTTTCTGGGAATCCTTCTATTTGAAGCTGTAAAAGACTGGATATATTCGTCGGCACANTCAATCTTTCCGCCACACATTTAGCCTCCATTCAAAGTCTCTGAAGCATATGATTTACGTATCCAGTGACTCAAAGGTGGCCTGTGAGTGGGAATTCCCCATTTTTCCGGGAATTCTTCTATTTGAAGATGTAAAAGACTGGATATATTCGTCGGCACATCAGTTCTGTTTCTAGAATGGGTCAGCAGAGCACTACTACCATCCAAGTAAAGGGTAATCAACTTGTAAATAAAGCAGCCACAAGTCAGATTGAAAAGAGATTTTGTCAAACGTTTGTGGAAGAAGGTGGTCTGCTCCCTGAGGTTGACATTAGCAACAGGGCTTCCAAGAGGTCCTAAATTAGCGCACAAAACTGTTGAACACGAGAGAAAAGCAAGAGCAGGGAGATTACTGAGGTATGACCGTGAAAGCAGACGCTGGCCAATCACTCCTGCAGGAAGGGACTCCAAAAAATCAGACCAATCTCCTATCACATCTGCGAAATCGACTGGTTCGGAAAATTCCTGGCATTGAAGAAGCCATCAGTTCAACTGTCGTCAACACTTTTTCACTCTTCCGTGATAAAGTGTGAGGATGTTACATATCTGCAGAATGCTTCAACGATTCTGAACCGAAAGGACGTGTGTGATGGGTCCCAAGAAGAGCAGGTAATCATACTAACCGATTTCCAACAATTTCTGATGTCAATGTTGTTCATAGAAGCTATTGCTGATTACCGCAGCTATCAGTAGAACTTCCGATATATCGAACACGAATAATCTCTGCCTTTGGGACAGCCCTGCATCAGGATGCTTTCATTATAAATCACTAAGACAAACTGGAAGCTCAGAGGGACCGTCATACCTAATCAAACTTTTGGTGAAGACAGACTTCACTTGGGACAGGGCTCAGGCCTTTTACTCTGAAAGCATATCTTCGATTTTTCTTCTAAGAGCCAAGTAACCGATCTTTTTCAACTATTCCTGAGCTTTGGCCCAATCATTTATTTAGCAGCAGTCTTCCGACTGACTCGTAGGTGGTGACGCTAATCAGAAGCCACTAACTCATTTCTACTCACCTGTGCCTTCCCTTGAATGAACTGCTTGAACTAACAATTCATTGGAATCGTAAGGAATGATTTCAGGGGCGTGAAAAAATCAAAACGGCCACCAAATCAGTCTTCAAGAGGTCCCTGATCCCTGGGATCTTCAAGGGAGAAATGCTAGACCATTGTATTTAATGATAAAGGAAGCTGGTTTCCGTTGGAATTTGACGATGCGCAGAATATTTTTACTTCATATTTAGGGTTTTAAAAGGTACGCAGAATTGCGAAGAAGATCATCTACCTGACGTCTACCCAGTGCTTATAAACAGAAAACTCCCGACCACATCACCTACCGCTTATTATCATTCATCATTTCCTTCCTGAACTCAACGATTTGCGCAATACCTATGTTTTGTCATTGACTAATACGTAAAATTCAATTTCCCCTCTTTACGCTTCTTATAATAGGCTTTACTAGATAGTACAGCACTCATGAACTTCGTAGGTACACCTAGAGCATGTAGCTCGCCAGGGGTGGACTATGCGCTCGAAAAGGCAATCTGTTACCAGTAGAGCGAGGAAAGATGGATAAGGCGAGTTTTTCTGGGTGGTCCGCCTAAATAGCGCACCGTCGTTAAAGGCACAGTTCACGGTAAAAATGGCTTCTGAGATTCCTCCACAGGATGAACTTGAAGCCCGCATATCTGGCACTATTAGGTAGGACAACGGCCTTGTTACGGTGTATCCTCGAACGAGTTTCAACAGCATTGTGGAGGCTGCACCATTCACAAGGGAACCCATGGAGGAAGTTTAAAATCTTGTCATGACCCACAGCGACAATGAAAGACAGCTCTATACAGTTCTGGCTTGATGTAGTCAGCTCTCTGTGCAACTACAACAACTGAAATCTCGTCCAAATGTTCTTCTCGAAATCGGCGAACTCTCTCGCTTTCTTCACTACCTAGTGCAGTACTCCCAATCTATACTTCCGCTTTTCGAATAAAAACGAGCATCTCAAAACTATAGTGAACTGTGCCTTTAGGTATTCATACAGTAGCGTCCAGTGATATATACGTTTTCACTTTTCATGCGTAACTTCCGCAAAGGACAAGCTTTCTGCGGGAAACCCGAGCAGTAGGTGACCCGAAGAGTGAGTGGTAGCATAACTGTCTTGCGGCTCTCTCTATGTCCCTCATTATGCTTCAAGTGAAATCCGTTGTGATTTACTCTTCCTTTCTACTAACATACAAACAGCCACAGATTCATTAAATTCAAGGAAAATTTTCACGAATTATTTTTTAGATTATGGGCTCTTCTTCTGCTTGGCAAGTTCCATGACCATTGACCAGCCAGCTTCAAATAGTTCTTGGGTGTCAAAGCAATTGCTTCGATGGAAACTGGAACACAATTACAACTTAGTAGACCTTAATTTATTGCACCAACATAGTACAAAGAAAAAAAGGAAAGAGAAGAAAGGAGGAAAAGAAAAAAGAAAGAAAAAGGAGCACTAAAAGTGAAGCATTTGTCTTCCACTCAAAAACTTCGGATAAATCAAAAACTATGTGAGACTAAATGTAAGGTGTGAATAAATGCAAATTTGAAGGCACAGTTCACGATAATTAAATGGGCGGGCACGTCAATGACGTGTCCGCCTCTCATTCGACGCCACGTCAGACNGTCTGACGCGAAATCGAATGAGAGGCGGACATGTCATTGACACACCCGCCCACTGAATCATCGCGAACAGTGCCTTTAAGAATTTTTTTGGGATGGTTAGTTCAGCAACCCATTCCTGACAGCATGAGATGTTGTGCGATTAATTCGGCTGGACAGGGTTACACAACCACGGAATATGTTTCCATGAAGTACCCGCTTGTCTTGAACGGTTTGCTTTCAAATCGGTTAAGAACATCTGAGATCTATGGAAAATGGTATACAAAGTCCTATGGAAATGTCAAAATATGCAATTACTTGATTATATGTTGCCAGATAACATCCAGCTGCTTTAATGGCCTTTGAGTCTTGAAATTTCAGTTGACGAGAAGTTGTACAATTCATTTTTCTACATTTTTCTGCTCATCACTTTCTTTCTGATGCCACCTGCTTTACGATTTCCCCAACGTCACAGGATCTTACCGTATATGTTTTACAGTTTCCGTGAATCTAAGCCGTCCTTTGGTTCGGAGCCTCTCCGATTCGGTATCCAGTAAGCAGAAAAGGCCACTTCGAGCACAGCCGTCCTTACAGATCAGCATTAGGGCGTTTTTTAGATTTAACCCTATTGCACTCCGAATCTGGAATTGGCATAGGACAAAACATCAGCAAATTGGGTTGAACGTGCAGTTATTACATGTCCCTACTCTGACCTTTTCGTGGATGCCCAGAAATCCTTTTGGTGGCTCAGAATCGACAGTCCAGCTCGTAATACAATACGCTTTTAATTCTACTTTGTTTACAGTTAAATTTCGAAGGACGTATCCTTCAGCTGAAATTTTATCCTGGAAGGAACTGGGACAAGCTTATCAGGGAGATGTATTTTGTACCTTCATCTCCGCTTTCTATTCTCACCGATACATCTCCATAGGTACCGTCTTCAGGGAACAGAAACCTGAAACCACGAGTAGCAGCAGGACGATCGTGAAAAGGAGGCTGAACTTGAGTTCAACCAAGTTGCATTGACCTCATCGAATAAGCTACCTTGACTCAAGTCAGTCAAGCAGTACTTCATATAACTTCGATGAATAAATCTTTGGGTACAAGTACTTTGTAAGGCACACAGAGATCTTGGCTTACCAAAGAAGCTGGATCCTCCTCTGNGGGGGTTCCCTGACTGGTTTCCTGAGGAGGGTAAAGAAGAGTGGGAAATACCATGCAAGAATCATTTTCCTTTCCTCTTTCTCACCGAGGTTGCTTAGGCTGCTAGAAATTTGCTTCAACTGACATCGCTGGATCTTCCCAAACCAAACAAAAGCAGTTTTTTTTTCGAGTTCCCTGCCTGGCCAATATGCCTAGAGAGATTCATGGGCGCGGACCAACAATAATTGCCCGGAGGTTAACCATTTCTACAGAGAACGATACCCTTATCCAACGTTTAGAAAGGAGCAGAAAAGAATATGCTATATGCCTTTTTGCAAGCAGAATTTAGATGGTCAAACAGAATGTTTAGGCTTCCTTGCCACCGGCCGAACAGCAGTATAAAATAGATTGCTATGTCCTTTGTTGAGATCTGCTTCTGCAGAGGTTTTCAGATGGCAGCAGAATCGATATGAGATGCCAGAGCAGCAAAAAACGTGGGGTACTTGAGTGGCAACCTCTAAAAAATGCAGTAGGCTTTACTTCTCCCGAAAATGAACCACTTTCAAGGGGACGGATGCATCAGAACCATGAGTGGGAAAGGTTCCCGATATCGATATGTTGTGGTAAGACCAGATTATTAGCAGCAAAGGTGAGGCTTTTGGGAGGGATCGGTGGAAAGTGATATGGCGTCGAAAAACAGGAAACAGTTGAAGAATTCATAATTTTACGTTTTTTCTCGTTTAGGCAGTTACAAATTTTACAGTGAAAAGGAATTTTGGAAATTTTGCGTGTCTCTGGTGGCCCATCGTTGTCTCTCCTCTCTAGCTCTTCATCAAAGGTAGAGAACAGCCTGTGTTTACATCTACGATTTCAAGCGCTACCATACAAGTCTAGGCTTTCGCGTAATGCCCTTGGCGCAGCTCCTCCAATCCAGGGCAAAATGNAAAACAACTTTTTGCTTCTCGTTCTGCTCCTTAGAATGCCCTTTCCGTAATGTGTTTTCACGCCCATTTTCTTTGTCGGAAACCATTTTTGGTATGTGATTGTAGTTTTTTCAAGCAATTGTTTTTTGGTTACAATCTGGCGTTCTTGGTCCGATCTTTGGAGAGGAAGTAGAACGGGCTGGTATAAAAGAAAGGACTAGAGAATTAAACAAATTCACCCGCTCGTTCTCCTGAACAAGTTGCGATATCTCTCTTTCAGGCTTGCTTGATGTGCAGGTAAATTAAGCTCTGCGGAAGCGGAACTGAGGCTTAACAGCCTTTCTTTCCGGGGAATATGTTTGTTCGTTCACGATCACTTTTAATAAAAGCTCAAGGAAAGGGGCGTTAGTTCCTCCTTGGAGGCAGACTAGGTAAGTAAATGGAGTTCGAGGAAATAAAATGTGTTGAGAAGGCCAAAACCAGGAGCACACTAGCAAACAGACGCCAGCCGAAGGGGGGTAAAAAGTAAAAGTGGTTCTTTTGCGATATGGACAGGTACGAGGCTACCTGGAGTAACTGTGAAAGGCATGTTCTACCAAACCTCACTATTTAGGAAACGGTGCAGCGCTAACTATAAGAAGATCTTTCGCTGTTACTGTTGAAAGCCAATCTCTTCAAGAAAACGCATTTATACTCGTCGGAAGTATGGCGCTTTGGCCCACCTCATCAGTGTACTTCAGCCCTCGAACAAAACAATAATTAAACCCAGGATTTCTTCCGATCCATTGTATTGAGTTGCCACAAACATGTGCCAAAAATCTTATAAGAATCCAGGATTATGATGGGATTTCCCGAAAGCTTCCATAGAAGCAGGGGGGGGGGGGGGGGGGGGGNCCTACTCACATGTATGGGTATAGCATATCAGGAGATACATGATATCTCCATCGGTTGTCCAGATAGAGGTTCATAGCCTGCCTTTACATTTCAGACTGTGAAGCGTTGGTTGAGGTGTGCACGGAACCGTCCAAAAGGACCTTGAGTCCTAACTGACACAAGCTTCCATTGACTTCAGCTGCGCACTGGCCAAACCGAACTCGTAAAGAAGTTTGGAGTCAATGTAGATGTACAGTCGCATCATTATAAACGAAGTTTTAACTCCAAGCGAGTCTCTGAAGTGAAGGCCACAGAATGGAGTAATCCAAGCACTCAGTAAATTTTCGAAAACTTTCGTCGTTTCGCCGTCGTTTCTGCTAAAATGACGAAAAGAAAAAATCGCACTTGAAGGTTTCATCACTGGGATCGCCCATCACAACTAATGCGTCGATCTGTACTTGGCTGAGCATTCGAAAGAAATCCGCCTGTGTGTCGCTATCGAACGGAGCTTGAGCCATAATGTACTGATCTGAAATGAGCGTGAAAAGTTTATTTATGAATATTTCCTGTTTCATGTTAGTCATTTCTATCTTGTCCTATCAACTAAAAGGTTAGTGTATTTGTATGCAGCATTCGTTCTAGGATACGCCAAGTTTTTGTCTTCCATTTGGAACGGAGAAATACGCCCATGAATGCGCAGGCAGTGACCTGGGAGAATGTAGAACCCGAGCACGTTTTTGCTTACAAACAAGTCTGGAACCGATCATCAGAAAATCGACCATGCACTGGGCTATGATTTGATCTTGGACTATGCCTATGGTAACGCGATACATGGCACTACACCACCTCCGACATGTATTTCCTTTTGACTTGAGACCGAATCGATAGAAATGATGTGAAAAACTGGTCAAATATGATCGGGATTACACGGTGGGGTGGAGGGAAGGTTCGAAACCCATTACTTCTTTAGAAAAACATCTTTGGCAGTAAGCAGTGGCAGTATTGAGGTATAAGAGTTAGTTCCTGAACCATTGATGCTACATTCTGCTACATTCCTTCGCGCGTGGTGTTTCTCTCGCCGCGACGCGACAATTTCGATCTACTGCACCACATCCCACACTATCAGATAGGTATGGTCACGGGTTTAGATCCCAAATCGCTATCCGTCCAAGCGAACTAGACCTCCGTTGAGAGCTGATACCAGACCTGCCCTATAAGATAAAACCCGACCCGTATATCAGCTGACACTGCAAGTCAATAGGTTGCATACTCATCCAATCGCCGCTAGGATTGTGAATGGAAGCGGAATGCGGGAGCGCATTCCACGGAGGGGATTCACCAACGTCATGGACTGTGACCTTTATCCTTCCTTGATAAGGAGCAAATATATGTAACGGGTTGGACAAGTTGCTCGAACGTTTCCCCATATTACCCACTTTTTTTGACACATCCGTCAACGTAGGATGCATGATAGTAGTCGCCATCGCCGCCAGACAGCACCACTCGACTGTAGTCGTAGAGAAAAACAGCTGAAATCACACCGTCACAGGTCCCTTCACCCATTGAAATGACAAGAACTCAAGTGCGAACCATCTTGTTTGAGATTCTTTGATCGATTTTCTTTCTTGAAAAAGGCGAAAAATGTGGGAGATTCCTTGACAAAGTCCTTGTGGGCCTCCACTACACCTTCTCCGAGCTTTTTTGATGAAATACGGGTTGTAAACTGAAAAATACACTATCAATCTAAGTTGTCCTTAGTCGAATACGCCATTAAATTCATCTTCACCTAAAAAATAACCCAAGACTGCACTAATGACAAGAAAGGATGCCAGTTTCCTTACACAATTGAGAGGATTACACGAATAAGGCCCCTGCTTAGATACCTTTACTACATTGGAATGTGAAACTGTAATGGATCAGTTGGTAATCACCAGTGTTATTCAGCTGCTTAGTTTTTTTATGTTCACCCGAATGCTTTTCGAGAGGTCCAACCACCCTAACGTGCCAACTTCTATAGCATGCTACTGTCTTCTCCCTGAGCCCATGCTATTTTCCTCATCTCCTTTCTTACTGCTTCTTCCTAAAACCAGGATTCGTTCCTTACTTTCCAGTTGGGAGGATGCATATGAGCTGAGTAACTGTCCTATATCGAAGTAGGGAAGCAGGGTGTGGGGAGGGGTGTAAGAGCATAGGTAGTATCGCAGTGATATCATTACTCAAAAACAATACGGCAGTACAGTTCGTTATACCGTTCTGTTAGCGGTCGGTGCAATACGGAAGCTTTCATCACTAATTTGTCTCCAGAGAGACATAACATAGAGCAGCTGGAACTCGCCAACAGAAACGAAAATTCG